ACAATAAAGTTTGGGAACTTGTCCCATTGCCAGAAGGAAAGAAACCCATAGGTTGCAAATGGATTTTTAAAACCAAACGGGATTCAAAGGGTAATGTGGAGAGGTATAAAGCTCGCCTTGTAGCTAAAGGCTATACTCAAAAAGAAGGGATTGACTATAAAGAGACCTTCTCTCCGGTTTCAACGAAGGACTCTTTTAGAACAATCATGGCACTTGTTGCTCATTATGATATGGAGCTTCATCAAATGGATGTTAAGACCGCATTTCTCAATGGAGACATTGATGAAACGATCTATATGGTGCAACCAGAAAACTTTGTGTCAGGAGATCCAAAGAATATGGTTTGCAAACTGACAAAATCTATTTATGGGCTCAAACAAGCTTCCCGTCAATGGTATCACAAATTTCATCAAGTGATTCTATCGTTTGGTTTTGAAATGAATGCAGTTGATGATTGTGTGTATCATAAATTTAGTGGGAGAAAGCATATTTTTCTGATTTTGTATGTGGACGACATACTGCTTGCCACAAATGATATAGGCATGTTGCACGAAACCAAAAGATTTCTATCAATTAATGAAAGATCTTGGTGATGCCTCATTTGTTTTAGGAATTCAGATTCACCGAGATCGTTCTCAGTGTATTCTTGGATTATCACAAAGAAGCTATATTGATAAAGTACTTAAAAGATTTGGCATGCAGAATTGTAGACCAATTGACACCCCTGTCGCTAAAGGAGACAAGTTCAGTCTCAATCAGTGCCCAAAAGGAAACCTTGAGATTCAAGAAATGCAAAAGATTCCTTATGCTTCAGCTGTAGGGAGTCTAATGTATGCTCAAGTTTGTACGCGACCAGATATTGCGTACATTGTTGGAGTTTTAGGCAGATACTTAAGCAACCCAGGAATGGATCATTGGAAAGCAGCCGAAAGGGTTATGAGATACTTAAGGAGAACAAAAGATAACATGCTTACATATAGGAGATCAGACTATTTGGAGATCATTGGGTATTCTCTGATTTTGCTGGATGTCAAGACAGCATAAGATCCACATCAGACTACATTTTTCTGTTAGGTGGTGGAGCTATATCCTGGAGGAGTGCAAAACAAACACTCATAGCTTCATCCACCATGACAGCAGAGTACGTAGCATGTTATGAGGCATCCAACCATGATATATGGCTGAGAAATTTTGTCACTGGGCTGCGCATTATGGAAGGAATTGAAAGACCACTCAAGTTGTTTTGTGACAATAAATCAGTTGTATTGTATTCCAATAACAACAGGAGCTCAACCAAGTCAAAGCATATTGACATCAAATTTCTTGTTGTGAAGGAAAGAGTACAGAGTGGCCAGATTCACAT